AACTCTGTCACACTCTCACTTATTTCACTCTTTCATTGCTTTTGAGAGTTGTGTTTTGAGTCTTGTTTACAAGCTAACATGTGAGCATGTTTTTCTAACCTTTTGTGCTTCAATCTCATCGGAGAGGTTTCCGGCACACACCCGCCGGCTAGCTCACGTTTGTGTTTTCAGGTGACAAAGCGACGTCGTACGGAGGAGCGTGGACTTGGTCAACAGGATTATACGAGGAGAATTATTTCCTCCCCGTACAATTACCATCATTATTTGAAAGAGTTCTATTAGTGACCTCAAATAAATTACTAAATATTCTATCAAACCTTTTATATAAGTGTGAGACTCATATGTATGTGATTTGTATAGGTCTTATATGCATGAGAGAGGTTTGGTAAAATATTTGGTAATTCATTTAGCTCCATGACATTTTCCTATTTGAAAATAATAAATTACTTGGTTATGGAGTAGATTTTTTGCTTCTTATTTAGCCCTGGTTTGACTATCATTTTGGAGCTAATAAAGTACAAAATGATAAAATAGGTTAAATAAGTTAATAAAACAAAATATCACATTTAATCTCATAATCATTACACTTTTTCTCTCACAAAAGTCAAAAAAGTTAAAAAAATCCAAATCAAATGAGGCTAAAAAGACTAGGCTAAAAAAGTCCCAACACAAAAAAATTGATTACATTAGCCAATGCCCAACGAAACTTTAGATTTTTATTTATTTAAATTTAAAAATTGCACATGATTTGATTTTTTTGATCTTTAATAATCAGTTAAAATAGTCAATAAGACAAAATATTACATCCAACCTATAATCATTTCATTTTTACTCTCACAACTATCAAATCAACTACAAAAAAAAAAAAAAAATCCACTTTCCAAACACAACTTTTTTTAGTCAAGCTAAAATAGTAAAAAAAACCAAATAAAATAGCCTACTTATCAAACAAGGCTTTCGTAAGGTTGTGTTTGGAATATGGATTAGGACCTATACGTAAGTATCCCAAGAGAAAATGTATGTGAAATGTGAATGGAATATAGTTATATTTCACCTACATTTTACACATATTTTATTTTTTCTTTTCCAAATCTCTATCTAAATTCATACTACAAACGCATCATAAAAGAAAAAAGATATTTTTGTCATAAATATGAAAATAAATAAAAAATGATTTCTAAACAAAAAATAAATACAAAAAAATTTATAAAAATAATGTAACAATAACATTTTTAAAATTGTAAACCCCTTTAATTATCTTATTTACTTATTTGAGATGAATGAACACAAATATGTCATGTCATTCTATATGAATTTATTATACAAATTTTTTGTTTATATATATCATCATTCAAATAATAATAAACAAAAGAGTTAAAGTGTCCAAATTTTTAGTGAGGATAAAGTGATCCGACGGTAAGTAAAGTGGTAAAAGTGATGATTTACGAATAAAAAAATATTATAAAAAATTTATACGGACTAAGATAACATAGGTGTGTCTATTTATTTTAAATTAAATGACCCATTAAAATTAAGAATAAAGATTGCGAGATCTAATTTTGGAGCTCTAAAGAGAGCTTTAGTAATATAACAAGGAGTGTGGTCCACATGTGATATGATGTGAGAAATGGGGTTCTTGCTGTGCCTTAAGGCACAACAGACTGTTGTGAGGCCCAATGGGGGCGTTTCTTGAGTCTTTTTCGATGATTCGAACCGTTCATATTGTAAAGTTCGTCGAATAGATCATTCATGAAAAAAATCTAGTGAATTAGACATTTGTAACCTCATAATTAGAGCACATTTATTTTTCAAAAAAAATAAATGGTTAACATGATTTTAATAATTTTTTAAAAACAATTAAGACTTGATCATAGGGTTACAGATGTCCGATTAATTTGATTTTTTTATATAAATAATATACTTGACAAACCTTACAATATGAACTGTTCAGATTATCAAAATACAGTCAAAAAATGCCTCTATGAGACCTCACAACAGGGCTGCTGTGCCATAAGGCACAACAACAACCTTCAGTCCTATGATGTGTGTATCTATGTTTTTGTTTTTTTTCTCTTGCCACGTCACTAGAGCTCTCTTTATAACTTCAAAATTAGAACTTTTTATCATTGTTGTAAGATGAATGAGTTACAATTTTAGAAGGAAAATGTTTTAGAGCTCTAATTTGTCATTTTCCCCACTATGTTTTGTCTATTTACTTTTCTTTTCTTTTTTTCTTTTTTTTTTCTTTTTTTTTTGTACGGCCAGTTAAGTAGAGGTGCTCCTCTAGAGCTTTGTATCACTATTGATTTTAAAAAGAAAAATATTTGGAACCTCCTTTGGGGATGACTCCTACACCCCCAAAGTGATCTTAGCCCTCCATGTATGTGTGGGGTCTACTCATATATCTGTGGGATCGACATCGTGCGTGGTCCAAATTTATAGGGGTTTGTGGAGTGAAAGTCTCAATCATTACTCTTTTAAAAATATCATAAATTTTTTATTTATAAATCACTTTCGAGAGAATAAAATTATTTTTTTATTTTTTTTATTTTTTTAAGGTTGTAGAGTAAAGTCTAATTAGTTTGCCCTAATTGTAGTTGAGAAAAAGGCAAAAAAGGAGAAAGGGTTGGCTCTGTTTTGTCTCTCTCCCTGTTATCTTGTCTATCCTGTCCCTCCCTCTCCACCAACTCTAATCACAACCTCCTCCTAAGCACCCACCTCACAAGGTTAGGGTTTTCATTTTAAATTATTCTTATTTTTTTTTGTTTTCAAGTTCTTTTTTTTATTAATGCATTTGATTTTGTTCTCTCTTTTCTCAGAACGAATCCCCTGAGTAGTCTGTGTAGTAGTTAATTTATGGGTATTATTGGAAAATTAAAAAAAAAATTGTAACAAAACTTCTGAGTTGTGTTGTGTGCTTTATATAATAGAATTAGTCAGGTACATATATATTCATATGACACCCCCATCATAGCACTATTAATTAGCATAACCAATTATTAGAGTCGGAATCATAATTTCATGTCGGCAACCAATCAAGAGAATGGGATGGTTGTGTCAATTGCATTCTGTTCGATGTTACGCTCCCATTCCAACTTTTACTCCATTCTGACTTATTCTAGTGTGTACAAGAAAGAAAGGGAAAGTAAATAACACTTACTTTTTCATCGATTTGTTTGGTTTACTGGAAAATTTTAAATAGAAACAAGAATCCTAATTTGTACAAGTTTGTAGCAAATGCTGAACAAAATTTGAGGAAAATATGTAAGTGATTTTTATAGCCTTTTTGTTGTATTTAACTACCTTGCTTTTCGCTTTTGTGGCTCCCATCATGTGAGGGAGTGTGCTATAAGTTCGAGAAAAAGACTGAATTTCAAAGTATGTTATTCAAAAATATAATTACTATGGTGTTGGTACTTTCCAATTGTAGTTTTTGATTAAAAGGTAGGATCTAGGCACATCGTAGTCTTCAGCATACACTACGAGACTCTATGGTCTTTTGGCTTGGAGGCTAAAGATGGAGGTTTCACCATGGTGTTACATCTGCGCAGGTCATGCTGCCTTTGGCTAGTCCTACACTTCTATTGAGAGAGAGGGAGAGAGATCTTGCCACGTATACCGCCTCATATCAAAATGTCTTAGCGAGTTATCTAACTTCCCTTGAAAATTGAACGATTTATGCCCATGTGCTCACCTTTTATAAATATAAGGTAGTACCATCCTACATGACAAATTAGAACACATGTCAGGTTGAGCTTTGTACTTGTGCTCTATGAACAATTTGAATTCGGGGTGCATGGAAACTTACATGTTGTAGACTCATACGTTTTTTTTTTTTTTTTTATGAAAGCATAGCATGCATATTGCTTGATTGCTTCCCTTTGGCATACTAGCGGGTATTGGTTGGAAGTTGGAACTTTTGGTTTGTTAATTATACAATTACTGGGTAGTTACTACTCACTAGTTAGTATTAGTCATGCTTATGGATCAGTTAAGTTTTAATGTGAATTACCTAGTTTTCGTCCTTGTCAATTCCAGGTGCTTTCCTTGAATGTGAAATATCATTATGCCAGATTTATTTTTAAAAGTCTATTTTGTGGAATGAAGGTTGAATAGTGCAATGACATGACACTCTGTTATTGATTTTATTTTTCTCTAATATTCATTTGTAGGTACTACTACTAATTAATGATTCATACCTTTGCACTCTTGACCCATAGTACTTTTCATGAAGTTGAATATCAATTGCTTTATATTCATTTTGGTGTTATGTACATTTTTGTTTCTATACTTCTTCCACCTATTTTCATGAAAGTCACAAATAAGGAAAAAGAGGAACAAAATTATGATACATGATTTAATGCGATTTCTGACACATGCCAATATGCCATAGGACGTGTGAAGCTCATAAATTTTACCTGTAACATGTATGCATGCATTAGGATATTCTGGTTCCATTTTGCTTTATGGGTGTCTAAGTTATATCTGGTGCTGACTTGTTTTGGTCTTTTGTTTTCCTTATCAGGTTTAGATGGATTTGGAGACGGAAAACAGGATAGCTGCAATTCTTATGAAAGAGGCAGCAAAATTGCGGCGACAAGCTGAGGAGGGTGGTGTGCATGTTTATCTTAGGCAGCCCAATGTTAGGGGTCAGCCGAATTCACGTTTTCCTCACAGCAACTGTTCTTGGTGTACAACAGGGTTAGTTCTGTAGTTGTTTAAGTATAAAAAAAATTATAGTGTGATTCGATACTTATGAAGAGTGTATGTGTAATTTAACATTACTATATCTATATAGTTTTGATGCGCACTAGTTTGGTGCCCCCTTCAGCCAACCTAATTTGCATTTTTGAGGTTTGGAATTAATATTTTATGTTTCTTATTAAATGAAATGGATTTAAGAATATTTAAGACTTATTAGGGTGGTTTGGGGTTTGCTTATTTAGTATATCACTCGCCGTTATTCAGTTAAATTTGTATGTACTAGTGTGCTTTGAAAGTAAAAGAAAGTTATATCTGTAAGAGGGGTTAACTTGAGCCCATTAAATTAATTGGGCCCAATCGGAAAGTCCAAAAATTGGTAGGCTCGGAGAAATTATCGCCAAGTAGGCCTAAGTAAATTCTATTGAGCAGACCCACAAAAAAGTCAAGAAATTGGGCCGAGGAGGACCCATCAAGCATATATCTCTAAAGAGAGCCCAACAAGTCCATCTGAGGAGACTCAGATCATATAGGTGTCCAAGGAGGTTAACCATTGCTTTCAAAAGAGATAAAACCCTTGGAGGAGATCCATTCTCCAAGGTATTTGCTTAGTCGCAAAAGGGTTCGGAACCACAAACCTAGAGACCTATTTAAGATCAGATTCGAAAGGGTTCAGATCCACGAACATAGAGATTCGAAGCATTTGGCTTCGAACAGATTCGATCGCAATCTAGAAGCCGCTCCATTAATGAATCCCATAACACTTGTGAGTTCGGAGCTTTTCGGGATCTATGCACCATAACTATGGGCGTGACAAATTCCGAACAAAGGACCCGATCCCGAGGATGATGAGTGAAGATAAATTCACTCTTTGGTTAAATTAGCCTATGCCTGGGTCGAGGTGGCATGATCTAGGGGGTCCTTAAGACTTGGCGATATTTGCGGCAAGGCGTTCTCTTGAACTACCTCTGACCCTTCTATGGGAGGGTGTCCTCTAGGATTACCCCTAACCCCTTTGGGATGATTGGGGATCATTAATTAGGCGTGGCTAAGAAGAAGGGTTCACCGAGAGGTTGATCTCCTTTTCAGGGTTTTTTCATCCTTGGAGAGGTCACCTCCTCGGACAAAGTATCTAGAGAGAATATTCCAGCCTACATCTTGAGTTGCCTATATATAGAGTACCCACCCATAGTTTTAGAGAAGAGGATTTTGGAGAGATAATTCTTAGAGAAAACTAATCTGCATTCTCCATTATATATCTTGGGAATGAAAGTGGGAGATCCATGGGAGAGCCTTGTCATTATGCTCAATCTAACTACTTTGCCTTCTTCACCCAATCTCTTGTCTCCATCATCTCTTTGTTATTGTGTTTTGCAACTATTGAAGAATCTAAGCCTCACCACTCATTTCTAGAGAATTCGAATTCTTCGGTGATCTTCGAATATTCCGGCGACTTTCTCGGACCCTCACATACAATATCATTGGTCTGTCATAAGTTGGGGTCACCATACAAGAACAATAGTAAGGTTTCACACCCAATTCCCATTTGTAGCATTGCTACGGTTTTGTTTGATGTGTAGAGAATTATGAAACTTTGCTTACATAGCTTAATATACAATGATCAAACTCATTCGATTATTACAGAAAACTAAACCTCTTGTTACTTATTTTGTTGTGTTATAATTGTATTCATTATTTTTCGATTCAGTAAGAAATCAATGTTCAGATATATGGTTATTGTCCCTATTGTTTCCCCAAAACTTAAGCTTGCAACAACTTTTTGCCAAGTAGATCAAACAGTAGTTGATTAGTTGACAATGAACTTTGAAGAAATTTAAGCCACAACCTTGTTCGTCCTTCTTATTACCAGATCAAATAGAGTTGTGCAAGCCTAACATAATTACTGAAAAATTTTTAGCCAAAGGATACCTAAAATTAGTTGAGTTAGGTCCTAAAGGCAAGCAACTAAGTCATTACACTAATGTGACTACTGATATTGACATGTATTAACATGCATGTAAGATTTTGATGCATACACATAGGAGAGACCATTCTCTAGAGCAGTTTCACTACTAATAGTTACCAATTCTCTTGCCTTGTGCTTCTTCGAAAGAGACCAATCTTTATTGTTTGAATTAAAGATTGATGTTGTCTGCTCCTCCACATGATTAACGACAACGGTTCGGTTCCTTTACGTTGCCTTTCCTACATCAAGTCAGAAAATAATAATACATTTTCAAAAAAAACAAAGAAAGAATAATTGTCACGTCCCAAAGCCAATCAAGCTAGGAACATGACAATGTCGCACACCTATAAGACTGATTGCACCTTGTGAGCATGCAAAGATGGTGAGAAACTCAATTCAATTTCATTCGACAATAATCATTGCAATCAGGAGATAAAACCACATCAGTAATACTTTTATCAACAATACCAAATGTCTCAACAACAATACACAAATTCAATTTAGGCAGAGTCTAATATTTAGAGCATGCTAAACCAAGAGTTCCACAATCTCAATATTCATTTGGATCTGTAATAACTACTTATAGCCCTCTATCCCAATAATCACTTCCACCACACTATTCATCTGGACATGTAATGAAGAAGAAAACAATCAGTAACTACTTCAATACGTAATTGCTTCCACAACTAGTCGAATCAAACAGTGCAGTGGCGGAGTTAGGAATTTAATATAGGAACACCTATTAATTACAATATCAAAAAAAAAATTCCTAATCAATAACAGTAACATAATAATAATTTTTCGAGTTAATATTAAATCCTAAAACTTAAATATTCATTACAAAAGTTATAAATTGTAAACTTTTATAATTATTCCCGATAGCGTCATTATCAATACCATAAAAAATGTCTCTCTATATAGACAACCAAGCTATAAAAATAAAAATCCTTATTCAAAATCCCCAATCTGATCACAAACCACCACAAATTGAAATCTCCAATTTTAACACAAATCAAAATTCTTAAATTTAGCATAAATCATAACAAACTAAAATTCCTAATTTACATATAAATCACCACAAACTAATATTTTTAATTTTAGCACAAATCAAATCCCTAATTTTAGCGCAAACAACAACAAACCAAAATCTCTAATTTTGTAACAACCCAGATTTTTAATTATTTTGTAGAATTTATACTAATATTATTTAATCTCAGTTCGGAAAATATATAATTTATTCTATATTATTATGTGTAATTTTGTAAAATAATATAATTATTAAAAGTTTAGAGGTCAAAATAATAATAATAATAGTGGTATTAAAATAAATAATTAATTTTCTATTAATATATGATAGAATATAATTTAATTAAGAATTAATTTATTTATATAGTTATTTAAGAATTTGGGTCAAAATGTAAATATCTTATATATATATTTAATAGATAAGTGATAATCTAAGGTTTAATGAAGGAGATCTGAGTGAATTATGAAAGAGGATTGAGATCGCCACGTGTCGGCCACCGGACATTTTTACTTCTCTATAAATTGGGAAGAACTGATCAGAAGCCTTAGAGTGATTGAAATCAGAAAGGAAAAAGAAGAAAGAAAAGAAAGAAAGAAGGAAAGAAAAGAATAGTAGAAAGTGAGACGATCTTTGATAGTGGAAAGAAAGTAAGATATTAAAGTTAAGGTGAGTTATATTATATTTTGAGTTATCATAATATATTTTACGTATATTTTGACTTACTAAAATCTGTTTTACACAAGTTATGTTTTATTAGTATATTAATAAAAGTTATGTTTTATAAATGTTTCAGTTACGTGGTTTTATATCTGAACCCTATTTGTTTAAAAGGAAACCCATGGATATGTTTGTTTATATTTTAAAGAATATTTGACTATGACCTTATATGCAATTATGTCTTGTAAGTACTACCACGAGAGTCTCATTGGGGGACTTAAATAACTATTGGCCTCTGTTTGACCACTTTGTGGTCTTTTGTTTGTCATGGATCCATTGACCTCTGTTCTGTGCCGACCAAAGTGTTGTGGGAGCCACCTCTAGAATCCGTACGAGCCACCTTTTAAATCCGTACCTCTATTCTGTGCGGACCAAAGTGCTGTGTGGAGCTAAGTGCTACACTATTATGGGAGCCACCTCTAGAATCCGTACGAGCCATCTCTTGAATCCGTGCCTCTGTTCTGACTGTCACTTTTGTGACCTCTGTTCTGTTCTGTTCTATTCTGGACCGTGGTTATGGTTATTTATTTACATAATATCTGTATTTCAGTTTCTGCCACTTAAATGATTTATTTACCAATGATTTATTTACCAAACTGCCAAACTGGAGTTATGTAAATGTTTTGGTCTAACTAACTATCCATGGTTATTTCGTATCCCTTATAGTCTTGATATAATATTTCTCACTCTGCCATGTGCTTATAGTTGTTTACCAATTTTCAGGAAACAGTGCAATTCAGAAATAACTTTTGGAAAGACTTAGATGCGAGGCTGCGGAATAGACACACACAGCATTTTTTGATATTATTTTTATGTAAATATCGGCCTTTTTTGTCAATAAATTTTGTAATAAAAATAGAAGCTCCAATGATTATTTTAGTACCCTCATTTAAATATTACTTCCGCTCGCGTTTATTGATTTATTTAAGAATTAACCGTAGGTAACTTCAGTTACTGACCATCACGATGCTTAACCCTTGGATACGGGAAGCGGGTCGTGACAAATTTAAATATAAATCATCACAAATTTGGTTTGGAAAATCCAGTGACTTTTGGTGAGCCTTGTTGCACTGTGGTTTGGAAATTAGACAGGCTACTAAGTCTTCAATGTACCACAACCAAAAACAAAAAAAAAAATCAAAATGAAAAGTCTGGTCCCTTGTTAAGTCAGCCACTGGAATCAAAGTGTAGGAAAAATAATAATTTCAATTAAAATAACGTTAAACAACATGGATTTTTCATTAAGCGTTTGTGATTCAAGAGTGTAAAAAAAAATTGTCATGCACTTCAATTAACATTTAATGTAAAATCATCCAATAAGGTGAGTTCATAATTATACAATTTAAAAATGTGTAGGATTTACTTTTCGATATCTCAAAGAATTCAATAATTCAATTCAATCGATCCAAAACTGAACGGTTTGA